AGGCGAACGTCGTAGCAGATGCTTTGAGTAGAAAGCGTCGACATCGGGTTGCGGCTTTGAGGTGTTCATTGTATAGAGATCTTCTTACACTTAGCTAGTTTGATTTTAGATCTAAGGATGGTGGTACCAGTGCATTTTTAGGAGTGACAGAGTTGTCAGAGCTCAGTTGGAATACTCTTGGATCCAAATCCGTAAGGAGGAGATTTCCAAAGAGCCTAAGGCCGATTGGACCATTGGAGCAGATGGAGGTCTACGGATGAAGGGTAGATTGGTTATGCCAGCCAGTGCAGAACTAAAGAGGGAGTTATTTGATGAGGCGCACCGTACTCGGTACACAGTACATCCAGAGACTACCATGATGTACAAGGACCTGAAGAGATACTTCTGGTGGAGTGGCATGTGAAGAGAGATTTCAGAGTATGTGGCTATGTGTTTTACTTGTCAGCAGGTGAAGGCAGAGCATCAGAGACTGGCAGGGATACTTCAGCCGTTGCCTTTTCCAGAGTGGAAGTGGGCGGACATTTCTATGGACTTTATTGTAGGGTTGCCAAAGTCGAAGAAGGGGAATGATTTGGTTTGGGTAATAGTGGACCGGTTGACGAAGTCAACACATTTTATTCTAGTGAGGACTACTTATACAACCGAGGCGTATGCGAGGATCTTCGTTCGAGAGATAGTTCGACTTCATGGGGTTCCGGACACGATCGTGTCAGATCGAGGATCAGTATTCACTTCACATTTTTGGAGGAACTTCCAGGACTCGTTTGGTAGCAGACTATCTTATAGCAGTGTATTCCACCCACAGACGGATGGTCAGACGGAGAGGGTGAACCAGGTGTTAGAGGACATGTTGCGGGCTTGTGTCATTGACTTTCAGGGCAGCTGGGAGGAGCATATTCCACTGATAGAGTTCGCTTAAAACAATAGTTATCAAGCGACGATCGGTATGGCCCCATATGATGCATTGTACGGGAGACCTTGTAGATCACCGATATGTTGGGCAGATCCGGAGGATAGCTTGATGCTTGGTCCGGAGCTTGTGAGGCAGACTACCGAGAAGGTAGCATTAATTAGGGAGCGGATTCTAGCCGCTCAGAGTCGGAGAAGAGTTATGCAGATAAGAGGCGAAGACCCTAAGAGTTTCAGATTGGGGATTTCATTATGCTAAAGGTATCAATCGACGATATTAGATCTTTCCGAATTTTGGAGCGCATTGGAGCTGTGTCATACAAACTAGATCTTCCAGCTTCTATGTCTAGTATACACAACGTATTCCATGTTTCTATGCTCAAGAAGCACTTGCATGATGAGGAGCAGCAGCGAGTGTTGGATGCACCGGAGAGTAGTAGCTTACATCTCACGGTAGTTAAGAGTGCATGAGCAGAACTATCCTACTCGTGACTTGGAGTTAGCAGAAGTGGTATTTACACTAAAGTCATGGAGACACTATTTGTATAGAGTGTAGTTTAGTTGTTCACAGACCATCATAGTCTGAAATATCTTTTCTCTCAGAAGGAACTCAACCAGAGACAGCGGAGATGGATTGAGTTTATCAAGGACTACGAGTTTGTGATTCAATATCATCTCGGGAAAGGCGAATGTCGTAGAAGATGCTTTGAGCAGGAAGCATCAACATCGGGTTGCGGCTTTGAGGTGTTCATTGTATAGAGATCTTCATACCCTTAGCCAGTTTGATTTTAGATCTAAGGATGGTGGTACCAGTGCATTTTTAGGAGCTGTGTCAGTGCAGCCATCTTGGAGTGACAGAGTTGTCAGAGCTCAGTTGGAAGACTCTTGGATCCAAATCCGTAAGGAGGAGATTTCCAAAGAGCCTAAGGCTGATTGGACCATTAGAGCATATGGAGGTCTACGGATGAAGGGTAGATTGGTTATGCCAGCTAGTGCAGAGCTGAAAAGGGAGTTATTTAATGAGGTGCACCGTACTTGGTACACAGTACATCTAGAGACTACCAAGATGTACAAGGACCTGAAGAGACACTTCTGATGGAGTGGCATGCGAAGAGAGATTTCAGAGTATGTGGCTAAGTGTTTTACTTGTCAGCAGGTGAAGGCAGAGCATCAGAGACCGATAGGGATACTTCAGCCGTTGCCTATTCCAGAGTGGAAGTGGGCGGACATTTCTATGGACTTTATTGTAGGGTTGCCGCCGTTGCCTATTCCAGAGTGGAAGTGGGCGGACATTTCTATGGACTTTATTGTAGGGTTGCCAAAGTCAAAGAAGGGGAATGATTTGGTTTGGGTGATAGTGGACCGGTTGACGAAGTCAACACATTTTATTCCAGTGAGGACTACTTATACAACCGAGGCGTATGCGAGGATCTTCGTTCGAGAAATAGTTCAACTTCACGGGGTTCCGGAAACGATCGTGTCGGATCGAGGATCAGTATTCACTTCACATTTTTGGAGGAGCTTCCAGGACTCGTTTGGTAGCAGACTATCTTATAGCAGTGTATTCTACCCACAGACGGATGGTCAGATGGAGAGGGTGAACCAGGTGTTAGAGGACATGTTGCGGGCTTGTGTCAGGATGGTCAGATGGAGAGGGTGAACCAGGTGTTAGAGGACATGTTGCGGGCTTGTGTCATTGACTTTCATGGTAGCTAGGAGGAGCATATTCCACTGATAGAGTTTGCTTATAACAATAGTTATCAAGCGACGATCGGTATGGCCCCATATGAGGCATTGTACGAGAGACCTTGTAGATCACCGATATGTTGGGCAGAGCCAGAGGATAGCTTGATGCTTGGACCGGAGCTTGTGAGGTAGACTACCGAGAAGGTAGCATTAATCAGGGAGCAGATTCTAGCCGCTTAGAGTTGGCATAAGAGTTATGCAGATAAGAGGCGAAGACCCCAAGAGTTTCAGATTGGGGATTTGATTATGCTAAAGGTATCAATCGACGATATTAGACCTTTCCAGATTTTGGAGCGCATTGGAGCTGTGTCATACAGACTAGATCTTCCAGTTCCTATGTCTAGTATACACAATGTATTCCATGTTTCTATGCTTAAGAAGCACTTGTATGATGAGGAGCAGCAGCGAGTGTTGGATGCACCGGAGATTGAGCTTCGAGATGATTTAACTACTATTGGGATCCCAGTGTCTATACTTGATAGAGAAGACAAGAGACTCAGGAACAAGGTGATTCCATTAGTGAAAGTTCAATAGAACCAAAGTGGAGTTGAGGAAGCTTCTTGGGAGCGCGAGGAGGACATGCGACGCGACTACCCACACTTGTTTGAGCAGGTAAATTAATTAAATTATTTATGATGTGAGTTCTTACTTGTGTTTTTATATATATCTTGATATTTATATTTAACACTAGAATGAAGGTATTTTCACTAGATTCTTAATCTTTCGGAACACAGGGTATATATATGGCGGGTTCCATGTTTGGATTTTTTGTCTGACGTACTAGTTCCGTTAGATTAGGGGTTGAGTAAGAATATTATCATTTTAGATCGTTAAGTATGAATATCACTATATGCTTATCTAGAGTTAATATTACGAGATGTGTATGTGTGCAGGTTGGATTAGACCCTCGTCGTGTTTTTCAAGTATCATTATGTGCTTGATATGATTTCAGAATTTCGAGGACGAAATTCTTTTAAGGGGAAAAGAATGTAAAACCCCGTACATTTTGATAATTTATAGAGGTGTCAATCAGCGCAGTGGAAGTGTGGAACGAGATGGCGAGCAGCAGATTCGAAGAATCCAGTTTTCAGCTCGTGAGTCGACTCATAACTCATCATGAGTCGACTCATCAGGTTGAGTCGACCCATGACTGTCATGAGTCGACTCATGATATCGAGTCCCGTTGTCAAAAGTTTCTGCTGAGTCGACTCATCAGTTTATGAGTCGACCCATGAGTCATGAGTCGACTCATAACTGACCATGAGTCGACTCATCGAGGGTTTTCTGGTTTTTGCAGTTCGGGTTTGTTTGGGTTACGGGCCAGGTTTTAACTGTTCATATATAATCTCCTCCACCCGAAAACACCTCTTTTCATTAGTTCTCCCAAGAGAAACCTGTTCGCGTGGAAAACTGTTGCTTTCTTCATTAATGAGATAATTGTCATCTTGAGTTACAAATTATTGAGTTACAAAAGATCCGGTCTTTTATAGATCCGGTTACAACTAAATCAAAGAAAATAAAGAAAAATTACAACTCTCCTCTGTGAACAAATCACGAGCTCCTGTTTTGCGGTCGCTCGCTTTGGTGGGTTCTTTGCCTGCGCCGGGGTTAATCCGTGGACCACCGGGTTTCCGGGCCGAGGCCGGGCCGGGCTCCGGGCCGGGCCCGGGCCGACGGGCTTTTTGGACACCCCTACTATTAGGTCTCTTATTCTTGTACCGTGTGGTTGCTACACTTGCTTGAGAGATTAATTTAAAACGATACAGTAATATGAGAACTAATAGCAATATCAATGATTGGCTAATTGCCACTTAAATACATAAATAGTTTCCTGGCTTTACACGCAGACATCTATGCTTGTTTTTTACAACATTTATCTACCACAAAGTCTTTTAAAATTGTCAAGATGATAGTTTCTGTTATGCAAATGTGAGATTATTCTTTTGAATATTCACATGTGACACTCTCATGTTAATTTAAAAACAATAACTTTGTTGATTACTATTAAATCTATTTAAGTACGAACTAGCGTCAACATTTAGATGGAATTAATTTTGCAAAAACTTATAACAATAAGGGGACCTAATAGTAATTTCAGCGAAGTTAGGGACTAATTCAAAATGTTAAATAAGTAAGTGACTTATACCTAAAAAAAACCCCCACCCTTTCTCCGTCTTTAGTCAAGGCCACTTTCCGTTTCCAGCCTTCTCTCTCCTCACCCCACGTCCTTCCATCCTTAGTGAGGAATTTCTTCAAACACCTGATACGCTTTGTGTCTGCTCGCTGATGGAGATCGATTCCTTCCTCCTCCTGCAGCGATACCGCCGCG